CTTTCGTCCTCTAAGAACTGCAGTTTACTCAGGAGACCACAGATGTCCTTGGGAAATGCTTGGCTTGATAAGCAGAAAGCACCCCACAAAAAATGGAGATTTTTGGACAGGCTGGGGGTTGCAACAGGTCTCTTCTGTAGCTTTGCAGGATTTCCCTATAAACTAAAGCCAGGATTATCTTGTTTCTCTGACTTTAGAATTGGAAACTTTGAGAACCAGGGATTTGTGGACCAAGTATTCTAGGATTCTGTTCAGTGGGCTACTTCAGCACATAACAGATAAATCTGAGACTTGTAACTAGAATGTCAGGGAAACCCTTTGAACAGCGTTTCTGTAACACCTCAGGTCTCATCCTCTCACCTTCTTCAAGTCTGTACTCATAAGCCATCCTCTCTATGAGGGCATTTATAAAAATGCAGATTCCTGGGCACTATTTCAGTCTCATTGTATTGGAATATTTGAGGAAGGGATCCAGAAACCTGCAATTAAATGCACTCAGATTATTTTCTTTAGTCCACTGAAATTTTAGAGCTTCTACTTCTTATACCAATAAATTGGGATGATCTAGTGTGTAAATTTAACCACCCCAGAGTCTTCTTTTAAGTTATGTTTTATGACAGAATAAAGAGATGATTAGACTTAGCTTGAGATACAGAAAACTAATAATTCATCAAAACCCAACTGAATATTTTTTGTATTCTTAAATTTGTTGTCTGTGAGCATTACTATCAGACATACATTTTGACTGAAAATATACATACACATGAGTTCATTTTATAAACTGATGAAATTGTATATTCCAGAGACTCAAATGAATACACTTTAAATAATAACAGAAGTCTTACATTAAGTTATATAGAGAAATTTAGACTAGTTTTCAGACTAAACTTTTTTTGGAAACATCACCATTAATAACTTTCCCCCTGTACCTAAAACAGCAGTGCTTTCAGGATAGTTGGAGTTCCTGTTTCCTGCAATGACTAAACCGGCCAGTGAGTCACATATTCTGGGAGGGGAGGTGGAAGGAGAAGGGGGAGATACCATTTTTCAAAGAGGGACATGGGTTGAAACAAGGTTGAGAAAATTGATGGAGACATATTTTAGGGGAAAAAATAGAAATTGATATGTGACACTAGAGTTGAGGTTTTTTTTTTGGTACCAGGGATTGAACTTGGTTCCTTACGCTTGTGCAGCAAGCAACCAAACCACTGAGCTAAATCTCCGGCCCTAGACCTGAGTTTTGAACATATAAGAACACAAAGATATGAGTTGGGGCAATACTAAAGAGGACTTTTTGATAAGTTGTTAGATGTTCAAAATAGTCAAGATTTTATCCCAAAATCAAACAACTTGTTTTCCAAAATCTGTTGTTTTCCAAGAGCTCGGTGCATAATCTTTCTAAACTTGTTCCTTATATGTGAGATATTTTTATTATCTTGCCTCACTGTGTTTAGTCACGGTAACATCAAATGTTCTTTCTTATAGACCTGTTCCTCTGAAGACAGTGGGATCTATTCTAAAGGATCCTTCATAGATACCATCTGTGATTCTGAGTGGGTTGTTTCCATTAAACATTAGACCCCAGGCCATTACCTCTCATCACATTTTCCTTTCTACTGGGGCAAACCTTCAACACACAAACATGCTCTTATTTCTTCCATCTTTAAGGCAAAAGAAACCTCTTGATGGTTCAAGCTATGTACCAGTTCTCTGCTTCCTTTTGTTATAAAACTTTAAAGATGAAACAACCACAGTATCTCTCCTGCTATGCAACTTTTAAGAATGCTATGCTGGGGATCAAATCCAGGGCCTCATCTAGGCAAACACTCTTATCACTGAGGTACACCCCTAGCCCACTTGTTGTATTCTTTACTAAACTCACTAAACCCAGGCTTTTGCTCATATCACTTTATGGACTCATTATGTTAAGATCAGTGATGACTACCATGTTGCTAACTAAACACATGGTCCATTCTCATTATTATGAGAATAATTTTATTATCTCTATCAAGTAACATTTGGGCCGGGGATTTAGCTCAGTGGTTCCACCACCTGCCTTGCAAGCATAAGGTCCTGAGTTCAATCCCTGGTACCAAAAAAAAAAAAAAAAAAAAAAAGTAACATTTAATCATTTCCTCTTTCTGAAATAATTTCTTTACCTAACACTTAAGGGCACACCATAGTCTTGGTTTTCATCTGTAGTCACTGGCAGTTCTTCCTTGTTCTATTTGCTGCTACTCTTTTGGATGATAGAATGCTCCAGGACTCTCTTCTGTCTGTGCTCCTCTTTTTCTAGTCTATACTCCCTTCCTTAGTGATCTTATCCAGTTTGCTTCCTTTGAAATATGGTCTTTTTGAAAGTGACATGACAATTTGGTATTTTTAGCCTAGACCCCTTTCTCTAACTCCAGACTAACATTTCTATCTCCTTGACTTCTCTTAAGATATACATCTTTAATTTATTGAACTTAATGTGTCCAACCCTTCTTCAACCATATCCTATCTCAGTTGATGATAACTTTATCTTTCTAGTTGCTCTCACCAAAAACCTTGAAGTCACCCTTGAAAATTCTGTTTCTGTTGATAATTCTCTTTTTGACCTCACATCAAATTTGCCAGCAAACTGACTTTCTTCAAAATATATGCATTCTCGCTACTGCTACTGCTACAGTTCAAGACACTTTCAATTGGGCTGGCCTTCCTATTCCTGTTTTTTTTTTTTTTAAAGACAACGTCACACTATATAGTTCAAACTGGCCTTGAACGCACTATTTATTAGAGCTGGCCTCAAACTCACGGTGATCCTCCTGCCTCAGCCTCCTGAGTGCTGGGATTATAGGCATGCGCCACCACACCCAGCACTATTCCTGTTCTTAATCCATTTTCTCAACACAGTACCCAGAATGTAAATCAGATCACATCACTCCTCTGCTGAAATCCTCAAAGGACTGTTTCTTTTTTTTTTTTTGTACCAGGGATCGAACTCAGGACCTTGTGCTTGCGAAGCAGGCAGTCGAACCACTGAGCTAAATCCCAGGCCCCTCAAAGGGCTCTTTTTTTCAAACATAAGTTGAAGACATTTCAAGGGCTTTTAAAGCTTCAAGTGATCTAGACCTCATTTAACTCTGATGGCACCTCTTTCTAGTCTACCCAGATTCCTCTCCTAACACAAGCAGTCTCCCCATTCCATAAATATACCAAAAATGCTCTTCCTGCTGGGCTTATTAACTGGCTGCTCCCTGGGACTTGGCATATTTTTTTCTCAGATACTTGCACGTTGCCTTCCTTCAAGTCTTTATGTTCCAGCTTCTCTATGAAATAGATTCTGACATTCCATTTAAATTCTGTCTCCTTTTTATCCTACATTCCTAATAACCTTATCTTTTTTTGGTTCATAACAAAAATTCTAATATATAATATACCTACTGATTATGCCTATTACTTGTCTACATCTTCTCACTAAATGATAAATCCCATGATGAAATGGATTTTTGTTCATTGGATTCCTAACATCAGAACTGACTGGGAAAAATAAGTATTTGTTAACTTCTGAACAGCCAAATGGGCCCTTATCAAATGCTTATAACCTATTTAAAACCAATTTAAGTGAGGATAAATAGCAAAGAAAGGGATAAAAAATCAAATAATGGAGACTTCAGGATGAACAAACAACCACTTAGCTATCTAAGAGGCAAATTTAGAAAATATGTCCCTCATAACTTTATCATTTGTAAAGCATCTACTCTGAGAAAGGCTTTACAATATGACCTTTAAATTTCAAAAAAACCCTAGATGTATTTATGCCCCTCCTTGTATTAATAAAAAGTAGATTAAATAACTTTTCCAAAGTCTCTCATGTAGTATGGGGAGAATATAAACAAGTACGATTCCAAAGAACCTGCTTACTCTTACCACATTGATTCTTCCTTTTTTGAGGAGTTATTAAAGTTGAGAAACTAGATTCTAAACAATGTGTAGCTTTTCTTGGTTCCAATAAGTAGAGTCAGAGTCCTAAAATGTTAGAATGGTCATAAACTGCTTCTTTGCATTGTACACTATCAAATCTGCAGAAAGGCAGGCTCAGCTTTGGGGCTGGCCCCCCTATTCCTTCTCTTGAGGCTTAAGTGCTCTCAAACATGATAAAAATAAGTGAAAAACAAATCATCTGGTTAAAACTCAAAAGTAACATTTCAAGAGCAAATGCTGAATCGTTTGACTAATATCAATGTTAACACTATTTGCCTACGGGTATTTTAAATCATTACCTATAGTATACTCCACAGTGCATGCTTGGATTTCACAATGGTTAATCAAATAAATCTGTATAAATGAATGATTTCATGTCTTTAAATTAGGAGAAAAAGTCACCAGTTAATCTTAGGTATTCCTGAAAGCAGTCCTCCAAATACCAGGGACATTGAGCCACTGGTTTCAGTCACTAACTGCCACATAATGTTGGCTCAGTCATGTCCCTTCTCCAGACCTCACTTGCCTGTTTTTAAATTAGTAGATTGGATCTCTAAGGATTCATCAGTTTTTACAGTATATAATCTACCTTGAATGACTTCATATTTACATAATTTAGATACAACCTAACACTCCTTATCTTTTCTTGTCAAACCTAGAAAGAATTACAAAGTCAAGCTGCTTCATTCCAGCAGGTCTTAGCAAAAACTGCTTGTTAGGGAACTGACAGCTGAAACTTCTTTGGGTACAATTGCCTCAGCCCTCTGAAACTGCATCCAAGTACACCCAAGGTTACTTTACTCATTTGCACCCCAAGGACCTTCCACTCACTACAGTCAGGACTTGACACAGAAAGTAATAGGAAACTTTTACCCTTTTATAATAACTTGTGGGAAAAAGCGCCCCCAAAGTAAGACCATGATAAAATACAAAGTATTTTTCCATGGAAAGTTTAAGCTAAATAATGATCACTAATGACTAAAAATACTGCCCTCTAAAATAAATACATGAAAAAAAATAATACACTTGTGGGCTATGTACGGCATTTTTTTCTTTATTTTTCAGTTTATCTTAGTAATGCCAGAAAAATAACAGCCATTATTTTCACTTTAAACGCAAACCAAATACTGCTGCACACACAATACAAAGATTACCTACGAACATGGTTAGGTACAAAGGCTATATTAGATGTATAGACCACACTTTGTTCTTACATCAAAGTAAGACAGCATATTTTTTTGACAGTAATTTTAGCAAATAACTGTGCTACTAAACAAAGGCAAATACACATATATACACAGACACATCTTAACTAAAATTATACATGTCACTTTGACAAACAAATTCTCTGGTGGTTTCACCAGATATTTGCATCCCCAATTCCCTGCCTTAATCCCACCCCCAAATGCTGACTTGATCTGAAGAAAAAAATTAGAGATGTTCTTAATTAAAGGCACATTTGGCAGCTACTGAAAGTGGCATGCATCTGGCACAGGTGCACTCTCTAAGCCACACCACATGTAACTTTGATCTTTCTATGCATCTTGATTCTGAGTGGTAGTCCAATGTGACCCACCTTTAGCTAACTTGCTTTATAATTTTGCAGCAACAGGCTACTTAATGCACTATTTTCATTAAAGGCAAAAGGGAAATTTGCTCACAGTTGACAGAAAATGCACTTTACGGTGTAAAAAATGGAAAATAAGGCATGAAAAGAAGTTACAAGTGCTTTTGTCATTTATATTTATCATATAGACTTCATGCTTTTCTTAACTAGAGCTCAGAATAGTTTTGGCTCATGTGTAAGGGATTATGAAATGATTTTATAAGTTAGTAATGAGATGTTTTAAAAGAGAAAAAAATTGAATAAAGTCACCACTTTCCCTTATAATTTCACTGCATAATTCTCTTTCAGCCAAACTGATAATTAACTTCGTGATACGTATTTACCGGTAAAAATTTATGTGCAATAGAACAGGAGTACAAGAGTCACACAATATAGGCCAAAAGAATAAGTAAACTTACCCACAGCAGCAGAATACCAAGAAATAAATGGTCAAATTGTTTTTGAATCTAAAGGAAAAAAAGATTTCCCTCAATATGTACAACACTAATTGGGACAACTCTCCCATTTGTTTTGCTGAGCCACTAAAAAAAAAAAATCTGAATTTAAGTTGTCATATTAAGACAATGAAATGAAAGACTGAAGTAGGCTAAACTTGAGAATTACAAGGTCATTATCATAAACTTTGGGTTTGTATAAAGTAATTTTGATTAAAAAAACATTAAGAACTTAGAACCATAATGTAGCCTCCAACTGACATAGTATTTGTTTACTAGACTGTTCTGTTGTTTATGATTGTTAGTATGGCCTGCTGTCTGCTTAATTCATATCCATTAAGACATACCTTGAGTTGTTAGAGAGCAGTAATACAGTAAACACATGATTTGATGCTCAACAAAACTTAAATTAAGCAAATTTTTGATGTTTGTATATTTCCTGATCATAGTAGCATTAAAATAGATTTGGAGCACTGGGAAGAGTAATCTTGGTCTGTCAGTAAATTTAGAGACATACTTCTCTGTCCTGTTTTTAGAAATGCTTAGATGTGAAAAGCTTTCCATTCTGTTATATTTGTGGGTTTTGAGCCCACAAGATTGAGCCTGGAAATTTTTTTCATTGTGATCCAAAGATAATGAAACATTTAAGAATATTTCTGTTTCTTAAAGAAATGTCCCACGTTTTGGAATGTGGTTGACAGAAAGTCATGCTGCATTGACTGCCTTGTAATGTTCTGGATCCAAAGCAGAATTTTGTGATGATACATTTACTTTTTGTCACTTCTTGTCCCTCATTAGGTATATTTCAATTACCACTAATGATAAATTTGTCTGCTAGTTTGAGACAAATTAACCACGAGAAGGATACAGTTTTCTTACCTCCACCAAAGGGCATCCATTTGGAATTTTTCGTATCAGTTACAACTGCAGAAAATATTTTTGTTGAAATATCACATTTCAGGATAAAAAATACCCTCCTTATGCACAATGCATATAAAACTGTTGCTAGGTGAAGTGGTCCACTAAAACCACTGGGTAGAAGAATGGTCCCTTCTGGGAGAAAGATGATTAGAACTCCGAATCTGAGTTTTTCCTTTGTACAGGATCAAGCAGGTTGAAAGGGGTCATCACCTTATTGAAGGTTAGCATGTTAGCCAGAAGACATACTGGATGGGCACCAGTGTGACTTCTATCTGGTTCTCATTTGGAGTGGGGATGGAACAATTAAAAAGAAGTGGTTAATAAACCATAAAAGAGGAAATCATAGGGAAAATTAGGCTGGCCCGATAAAAAGTCATGGGAGATTTTGGAATGTGTATCACAATTAATTGTAGCAGCATTAGTAAGTATACTTACATAAATATTTGTTGAATGAATGGTCTTATGGACACTTTGCAACCAAGAGGGGATTTGTAATTAATTTTAAAGGATATTTTCAGAAGAGGGGACATTTTGTGAAGGAAAAATGGCTATCATAATAGGAATGGTACAGACATTAAACAAAAAAGATTCAATTTTAACAAATAAGAAAGGATATAACAGGATGGACTGCTTAATGATGGTACAATTAACATAGTTGCTGTTCTTAAAGGAGTATACTGTACTACTGTGATGTACATTTAATGCTTTAATAAATATCAGAAATTATTAAAGTATTAGTTTCCACTGTGATGCAGCACTTCTAAAAATGTCTCTAATGACATGGTTAACAGGAAATGTTGCTTCATTATTCAGAGGACACATGCAGATAGGTAACTGATGAACTGATGACTGAGGATGGAATACTGCACATTACACAGACATTATAGTGGAGATTAATAAAAACTTTTTCTCTTCAACAAAGTTGCATGCATTTCAGTCACAGTATTTGTTAGGACTCAGAAGAGCAGTACATAGGCTTTATGAAAAATCCATATTATATTAGTGATGTAGGTAGATGACCTATTATGAGTATGACATATTATGAATAGTTGTGATAGACCTCAAACAAGATAGAATGTTCAATATAAACCTTAACAAACTGTATACATGTTGCTTAAGAAATTAAAAAACCTACAGCTCTGCTCAAAAGATACCCATCCTTCTTTAACCAAATATTTTCATACATGCCAAACTGCAACTTTAGACCATTCTTTAAGATCAATACATATATTCACAACTAGAAACCAAAGCGTACCACACAATACGTGCTTTTATGCTTAGTGTTTGTGTTTTTCAACTGAAAGAAATAAGAACCAACCATTTTCTTCATATAATAATCTATGCCAGCCAGACAAAGTATTTGTATCTTTATTCAATTAAATTAAAACAGACCTGCTAGGTATATTATATAACATTCACTATATACACATGATTTAGGTAATGCAAGGTAACTCTAGGTATGCGGATTACTTGACTATTAGTAAAACATGAATGGTGTCAGTGATGCCCAGCAAATGCTCCTTTTCACATTGGGTGCCTACGCTTCCATAATGTTGTTAGAGGGACAGCTACGAGCCAGGACATGGATTACCAGTAAACCTTTGTGGGAGAAGGGGGAAATGACAATCTAGTGTAGATTAACAGTCTCCTAAATGTAAATAATACACTTGACAGTTAACATTTTAAAAAAAGTTCTTCCATCATGTTAATGACACAAAACTTTTCTTCTTTGAAGGCAACACCAGATTTTGTTTTGTGTGGGGGTAGGTAGGGAATGTTCTTAAAATTGGTATAATTATTCTTAAAACAATAATAACAACAACAACAACAAAAAAGTACCTCTTTGGTGAAGCCTCGGTACCCATTCAATTCACTGTAATAATCTGTAAACAGGACTGTAGTACAGTGCTGGGGCCTTGATTTCAACAAGGTCAGGTACCACAGCCTTTCCTCACAGTCCTTTGATTTTTAAGAAAATATTCTAAAGTAGAAGAGTAAAGCAAAGGAGAACAGAGGAGGACAGTAAGATCCCTGTTTAAGATTTTTTTAAAAGTGCATAATATTTTGAATTACAAAAACTGTCGTCATGTGGGCCTGGTGGACACTAGATTGTTTTCATCCCTTCAACAATAAAGATCACTTCACAAAATGAGGGTTCTTGCCTATTGGCCAGAAAAAGTCCCTTCAGTTGATTTTCAGATGCAATCAGTTGTCCAATTCTTCTAGATCAGTCTTTCCACATATTCTATACTGGAATAGCATTTCAATTTATAATTAATGTCTAGGTTAAAATTCTTTGTCTTAAACTGCATCTTGAAGTAGAGTCATTAGTGTTTGGAGTTCTAGTTTTAACTCCTCAGTGCTGGCATGCTCAGTGCATCCATTGCCAGCAATGGATTTGGGCTAGGAAACTGTACATCCCAGAATAGAGGAACTCAGGAAGAATGGGCATTCTCCAACAGTGGTGGTCCATCTCTGTGCATGGATGGGTGTGTGTGCTCCCTTTTGTAAGTTTTTGGAGGGAGTTTAGGGATATGTTGAGAAGTGCTTTGTCGTGGAGGAACAGGCGGCCCAGCAATGGAATGGAGGTCCACTTCTTGTGTCAATGGTGGTGATGGCAGATGCCTTCTTGTGCCATGAGGAGAAGGGGTTTGAGGAGGAGGTGGTGTAAAAGGGGAAGGGCTGTTTGGGAAGAAGGCATTGCCATGGTCACTCTTTTTGCCCAAAGGGGGAGGTTGGAGATGTAGTGGTGAGCTTGAGAAAACATCAGGTGTCCTCACAGGCTCTCGTGGTGGTAATAAGGGAGGGCTCTCAGGAGGGTCTGATATAGAGGTCCGATCTGATATTGAGTATCGTGGTGAATAGGCTTTTGATGTGGGTTGCCTAGGAGGAATGGCTGGGGGGCTGTCCAAGTGCTTAGACATAATCTAACAAATGAGAAAAGAATAAAACATACTTATTAATAGAATTACTGTACTACCATGAAAATATTAAGAATTTGGGCTTTTCAAACATGCTATTGGTAGAATACTAGGTGTGGAACAGCAAGTTTTGCCGTATGTTTTAAATAATTAGTTTTGCCAATTTACAGAAAAAAAGTTGATTTTGCCAATGTTAAATTTTTACCTTGTTTTATTTCTCAGAATTTTGTTGTTTGCTGTTGCTTGCCTATTTTAATATAATTTCTGATTTAGTGTATATTACCCATTAGTTTTTCAGTTTCATTTTAATATATAATATTTAATCAAATTCTGCAAAAAATGCCTTGGCTTATCTAAGTGCTCTGCTCTCTGGACAGCATAAGAACAAATGAATTAAGTTAACAGCTGGCAAAATAAGTAAATACATTTTTATTAAAAAAGACGGAACAAATAGTCATTATGAGCCTTTAGGGTCTCTTCCAATCTAGAGTTTTTGTGAAAACCCCATTTAGAAACATGCTAGATCTTACCCTATAGGCTCAGATAACTTTTAGCATATGCAAAGATTAGGTTTCACTTATCATATACTTTTATGCAAAACTTCAGACCTCTTTGTTCTCTCTCCTCCCCCTCTGTGCCTGTGTATGTTTTTAAAGAACTGCTTGAGATTACTCTTACTTTATAAATTAAAACTTGTTTTTTTTCTTGACAATACCCATAGTTTTAGGTTTCAAGGGTTTTGCAAACATACTGAAAAACTACCTTTAGAAAAAAAAGAAACATTCTGGATGCTAAATCCATATTTAATCTTTGTTTAAACTATTCAGTACAATTACTCTGAAATGTTAACGTATTCCAGTGAGAAATAAACTAGACATAAGCAACTGACTATAATGTAAACTAATGATTCTAATTTCCAGATAACAAGATTTTCTACTTTACCTTAGATGGCGAAGATTCAGCTGGGGCAGATTCTGGTCGTCTTCGTGGAGGAACAGGCGGGGGGATGGGCACTTCATCAGTGCCCTTGGTTAAACTTATAGATGATACTGACGCAGATCCTGTACAATGTTAAATTTCAAAAAAGTTTATGGGAATTTTATTTCACTCATTAATCTTGAAAAGGCTTAGCTGGAAATTGCTAATATTTATTAAAAGAAATGTGTAAAAGTATCAAAAGCACTTTATAACCAATACCCAGTAATATTTCATTGATGCAAACTGCTATAAATACATGCAGAAATGTCTTAGCAGAACTTTTGAAAAAAGCTGCCAAAGATGTCGTTATTTTGTTTATTGAACAAAATAACATTCTAACAAAATAACTGTTAATTTATTACTGGAACTTTTAATTGGGTCTGATCCTCAGACTTTATTGAAAAGATAATTTGGAAATCTTTGGAATAGTAATTTTTGTCAAGCTTTGTCATGGGCTCATTTTTTCCCTCTAATTGAGAATTTCCCTGCCCTTAACTGGACATTAGTTGGGAACTGTCGAATTTGAAGCACTCTGTCCAATATCTCTCCCCAGCAATTCCCTTAAAGGATGCAGGAGGAAGAATCTGGTGCCTGGGAGGGCCTTTCCTTGTTTCGCTTGGGCTATAGGCTCTCGTGGGCATGGAAGGCTCATCAGATCTAATCTAAAAACTAACTGTAATGGAGCTATTCAAGATGACTGGGCAACTCTGATAATGAATACAGGTATACCAAAATCTAGTGACCCTGATTGAGGGATAAGCTGATGAACTGGCACACACACACAAAAAGGTAAATAAAGCTTCTAATTGGAACCTATCTTACAGACATTTATGGTGAAAAGGGCATAATATAAGACAGTACACAAATACATTGTTAACTACTTCATAAACACTATAAAAATATATGAAAATATTTATAGAAACAACCGCTCAAAACTATATTTGGCAAGTTCTTTTTATTCCTTTAAGCATTAAGTTTTTATTGTCAATCAAATGTTACAGCAATATAGAACTAAAAGAGTTATTTGTGTACTGATATCGTTACAATGATCAACATTTTGATCCACTTTTAAATTTAGCTTACAATTAATATTTTTTAATTGTACACATTTTTAAGTCATTTGCAAGAAAAGGCAGCAAAATATTAATTTATTAGCTTAAAATAATTAAAACAGGATTTAGTGAACTAAAAGTTTAAAGCTAGTAGCAAATAGCTTCAATAGAACTTGTTTATCTGTGATGAATATTTAGGCCTTGTAATTTAAATAATTACAGTTATAAGATAATCCTTCTAAAGTCAAAAGCAGTTATTTGCCTACAATCTCTGCTGTCACCAGGCTAAGTATGTTTTGTGATTTAGACACTGCATGTAGCTGCTAGCATTCCCATATGCGCATGCATGATTTTGCTTCCTTTTTCAAAGTTGAGCATTAAAATACATTTAGAATTCTATAGTTGGAAAAGAGAAATGGTTAAATGTAGAAGCCACTCATTTAATATGTTCTTTCAAAAGAGAAAAAAGGTTTTACAAAAAGCATGAAAAGTATATAAAATTAAGCAAATCATTCATGATCAAAGGACAGCATAAGTGAAGGCCTCATTTATAAGATGGTGCAAGCAGATACCAATGCTGCCAGACCCGAGGAGAGTTTTAGCAGGTCATACTTGGTTTGATTTTTAAAGCCAAAGCGAAAATTATGAGTCTTAATCCAAATATACTAACTTGGGCCATGGGGAAGTGTAACTTGGATAAAGATGGTATCGCTGCCTGTGAAAGGAAACAAGAAAAAGTAGATTTTTTTTTTACATATTCATCTGTAAAAATTTATGATGAAAATGTTATTCTTGTCATTCTAGTTTTAAAGAATCCTGTAAATTTTTAGCAAAAGCTCATTACTACTTACTTTTTTATTACTACTTACTTTTGATAAGAAAAAATAATTGAGTTAATGTCAGACTGGGAATTTTGAAGACTCCTTTTGGGTTTACTACTCGATGCCATAATAATTAAATGAAAAATATTCATGAGAAAACCATCCTATATCACTGAAAGATTTCTAAAAATGTATAAACCCAATTCAAGTGAAGAATTTAGCTGAACGCATAGAAATATATCATTAAATAAAGATTTTTTTTTTTGGTACCGGGGATCAAACTCGGGTCCTTGCGCTTGCAAAGCAGACGGCGAAACCACTGAGCTAAATCCTCGGCCCCAAGATTTTTTTTTTTGGTATGCGGATTGAACTCAGGACCTTACGCTTGCTACGCAGGTGCTATGCCGCTGAGCTAAATCCCTGGCCCTAACTAAAGATTATTTTGCAAATCCAAACTTGTGAAACAACTATTTTATATACTTTCAAAAATAAAAGGGAGTTTCTTACTAATATTAATATATATTTTTGAAACAATTTTTTGGGCATATATTCTTATTACAAAATAACTAGAGCTTTGGACATTAAAACAAGCTTGAAAATTAAACAGCTTTTTCCTTCTGTACTCATAAACATTTAAAAAATCAATATACATTTAATTCTTAGACACATTTTATATAGGAAACTCCCTGATAAATTTAGAATCTCTAACTTCAACAGTACTAAATCTTTTAAGAAAAAATTGAAAATCATAAGCCAAAGCCCCCAAAACATTAAAGTTGAACTGAGACAGAACACTAGATGTCCTATACTGGTTCTAAATCAGTAGAGCTATTTATGTTACACTGCCTCAAATTACCAACACATGGAATGGATAATGCATGAGAAATTAAATTAATTCCTATAATACTAGACTTAGGTGATTATGAAAATTTGCATTTCCCTTTTTCTCACATTTTTGCATAATATGCAGTAACTCAAATAATTTAGAACATTGTTTATTCCAGTTATTTGGTCAGAGGAGGATGTTTTACATTCCAGGTTCAGTTGTTTGATGACATCTGTTAACTTGATTGCTTACAAAGATATACTCCTCAGATTTCCCAGGCAGTCCCATATTAAAATAATCTGTTGCATTATCTCCTTTCCATATGTATTGATGTTTGAAATCCATGATTACTAAGTGTATCAATCCAGTTTATTCTATTATTTTTCAGAAGAGTAAAATACATTTGTATATTCAAGTCACATGAAGCTGTTGCCCTGTCAATGATTTTTTTCATAATTTGGTACCTACAACAAAATAGGTTTAAGAGGGTATCCAGCTCTAGTGTTTACTTACTTAAATAATTCTTACTTTTCTTGAACAAGAAATAAATGTACTGCCTGGAGATAAGCCTCAAGAACATGGAATTATATTTAGTACAATGTACAAACAAAATAAAAACACAAAGGTCATGACTGCCACAAACTGCAGACTTTTTGAAAGAATAATTAGACATATGCATACGCACTTGTGTATATAGATGTGTTGTATATCAAGGCCAAGTTTACAAGTTTAGGTTCATGGTTTTGGTAAATTTGGGGCATGTCTTTGATTTCTTTTTTTTCTTTAGTTGCTTGATTTTGCTGCCTGGAAAATGGTATGAAATATTCTTTCAAGCCAGGCATTATAGTGCATGCCTGTAATTAAAGCACTCTAGGAGGCTGAGGCAGGAGGATCAACAGGTTTGAACCCAACCTGGGCAATTTAGCAATTTGTGTAATTTAGACCTGTCTCAAATAATTTAGTCCTATCTCAAAAAATAAAAAAGGGCTGGGGATGCTGTTCAGTGTGAACACCCTATATTCAATACCAAGTGCTAAAAAAAAATTTATGTGTTCTATTAAAAAAATATGCCAGATGCTGGGTGTGGTGACATACACCTGGAATTCCAACACTTGGGAGGGAGAAGCAGGAGGATCACTGCGAGTCTGAGGCCAGCCTGGACTACATAGTGAGACCCTGGCTTAAAACAAAAAAAAGCTGGGGATGTAGCTCAGCGGCACTGCACCTGCCTGGTAAGCTGGCAAAGTCCCGAGTTTGATTCCTGGTACTGGAAAGTGTGTGATACACATGTCAGAAATTCTTATCATAGGGACTGAACAAACTGATTGATGATGGCTTGGGAGTTAAATCCAATTCATTAAAAACTATTGTACTAGGCCGGGGATTTAGCTCAGTGGTTCTGGTGCCTGCCTTGCAAGCGCAAGGTCCCGAGTTCGATCCCCAGTACCAAAAAAAAAAATTGTACTATTACTTTGTTAGGTAAATTCCAGATAACAGACCTATGATTCTCAATCTTGACTGCACATTAGACTCCCCTCAAACTTTTTGGGGGGAGGTTGGTTTGTGTGGGGAGGAGAGTCTCACTATGTAATTCAGGCTGGTCTTGAACTCGCTACGTACTCCAGGCTGGCCTCAAACTCATGGTGATCCTGTTTCAGCCTCCTGAGTGTTGCAATTACAGGCATGTGTCACCACACTCAGCTTCCCCTAGAAAATTTTTAAAAAATACTAATGCCCCAGTAGCTAATGCCAGTGAGCTAGGCCATTTTTTTAAAGCTCCCTAGGGTACTGTACTATACAGTCAAGTTGAAATCACAGTAGAAGATACTCCTCAGTTTATAAAGGAGTTATTTTTGAAAAAGAGCCTTTTCCTAAAGGAAAGAAAAATGACGTGACAGATAACTTCTTAAACTCACAAAACTCTGATAAATATGAGATTACAAACCTGTCACCCACAACAGTCTTCCTTGAAGAGCCTAGCATTCCAGCTTGAAATGCTTGCAATACATCTTTTGCTTGCAAGGCTTTCTTCACTAAGGGATACAATAAAGCTCATCTATAAACAGAGGCCAGGCTCCCTTTTAGCACCAGGACATCTTCAAACGGAAAGGTAACAAGGGCATTTCATCATTTTTCCTTCTTTGTTACAGGCAGAAATAAAGCAGTAAACCAGTGGTCTTTCCTCTTTTCTCAGCCACTGTCAGAACCACCTCACAAGTGGACCAGGCCAGGGCAAGGTGAAGAGCAGGGCTTTGAATGTGGGATGCATGTGGTGGCACCAAGTAGGTGGCTATTTCCCTTCCTTTGTCTTTATCACAAAGCTTTCAATGGCCATTCTTGCATTCTGAGGCCATCTTTCTGTAGACTTGTATAGCATTATGTCTTCACTCATTGGACATTTAGCTGTGATTTTCCTAGTGGCATCATTATTTTTCATATCAGTAAAACTGCAGGCTTTCCTGGAGAAGAATTATTCTTCTTATTAGCAAGAGGTAAGAAAGAACTACTGGTTTAAAGATAAATCATTTTTGGGAAAAAGTACTATAAGAGGCAAAAGGGAAAAAAAGAGCAGCATTGGGCCAGGGATTTAGCTCAGTGGCATTCCACCTGCCTTGCAAGCACAAGGTCCTGAGTTTGATCCCTGGTAACAACAACAAAAAAAGAGGCATTATAACTGATAAAAAAGCTAGTCAAACTTTGCCTTTTGACTTTTGGAATGTAGGCAATGGGATTTTCTGCAGCCTTGTAGTGAATGGAATGTGTATAGATGACATGAAACTATAGTCAAGGCAGCTCTTTCCTGCCAGCCACTGAGATAAGCAGGAAGTGGGGATTCTGTCTGGTGGCAACACAGTAGGTAGCAAGTTGGAGGCTCTGACAATCCCCACAGCAATAGGATCTGTTCAGTAAAAGTTCAGTCTTTAATAGACACAGGCTGCTGGTAGGTTTTAAGTAAGGGGTTAACTGAGCACATGGATGGTTTTATATTGGTCTGGATTTCAAAATCAGTTCTTTTTAGTTTTTGTTAAGAGGAAAGGGAGTGGTAATAGGGGTTTTCTTTATGAGAAAGAAGGAGAAATTGAAAAACTCTCAAGTCTAAGATTACAAAGCCTAACTCCTGAAACAGTGTTTTCTCCACTTGTCAGTTTGCAGCATAAAACAAAGCACTGATCCAGAGCACTGGGTTTGGGAACATCTTTTCCCGTCTAATGAATCAGTTACAGATTTAACACCAGCAGAGAAACTGTGTTCATCGGCTGTTTTTCTACCTTTTCCATTTTTAGTGATTTAAACTAAGAGAAGAGAATTCACAATTGATAGCTTTCAGTAAGTCATTTATTTAGGGCTCAATAATATGGTGTTACAGCTGTCTGCTCTAGGGAAAGAAATCCTGCAAACAGCTAAATGGGTCTAACCAATAATGACTGTAGGTAAGTAAGGTATACTGAAAAGGTGCTCCTTTTATTTTCTTAATTCAGAGGGTTGTTAAGTTGAAGAGAATAAAAGGGCTTTTAAAAAAACCTAGTGTCAATTTGAACTTACTAAAAATATGCATCTGACAGCTTACTATGTATATAACATAACTCCATGATCCTTAGTCATCAAATAAAGCCAAGATGTATTCTCAAGACAAATACACTTTAGATAGTACAAAGGTAAGACAGACTGCTGGGTAACTGCAAATGTATGCGTACTACAGAAATAAACAAATAGGATTATGGACCAAATTTCAAAACAATATACCTCTAAAAAATTATTAAAAGTAGATTTTCACCTAGAGTCTCTGAATTGAAAAAAACCTTAAAAATCTAGGGGCTAGGGGATTTAGCTCAGTGGTTTTGCCGCCTGCTGTGCAAGTGCAAGGACCCAAGTTCGATTCCCGGCACCAAAAAAAAAAATCAAAATAAAAACCTTAAAAATCTAGTTTGGCTCCTCGAAGGCAGAGAAAGCATTGCAGGCTGGGATGCCAAACCAGGATTCCTAACTCCAAGGTCAGTGCTTCTCAAGTTCTGCCTCCATAATGTTATGTTACTTCCGATATTGGAGTCTATCAGTCAAATACTGGGCTGGAGCTTGATCAGCACATTGAGCTAAGACAGCCAATAAGAAGAGCATGTGGAGGGGCTGGGGATTTGGCTCAGTGGTTTCGCCATCTGCTGCGCAAGCGCAAGGACCCGAGTTCAATCCCCGGTACCAAAGAAAAACAAAATAAAACACCAAAACCCCCCAAATATTTAGAAACAACAAAAAAAAGAGCATGTGGAAGTAGTCACAACTGGGATAAAGGTAAATATATTCAAATTTTAATTTAATAATAACTTTAAAAAGTGATGTGTTCTTACAAAAGTTTTAAAAGTTCCATATGAAACAGAAGCGAAAATAACTGTGATCTAGATTTAAAAGGTTGCTTTCCAAAGGGCTGTGCAGTTGGTAGCCAGAGGTGGTTACTGAACATCTGACTGTGACTTGTCCAAATTCAGATGTACTGTAAGTATAAAATGCAACAAATAGAATGTATAATGCCTCAATAATAAATTTGATATTGATTTCATGTTGAAATATCAATATTTTTAATATTCTGGGTTAAATAAAATATATTATTAAAATTAATTTCACTTAATAATTTTTGCTTTTCCCTAATATGGATACTAAACATTCAAAGTTGTACATGTGGCTCTCATTATATTTCTGTTGGGAGAGTGGTCTAGAAATAAGAGAAGGATACACAATATGCATCTATGAGATCCAGATGGTTCTGCTGAAAAGCACAGGCAGTGTACCAGTATATACTAAATATTATCAAGGTACCTTGGGCAGGCTAAGGAAGGGTTAAGTAGAAGTTTGAATGTGATATACTGTAAAATGAGAAACTGTTGCAGAATTTGGTGGGGAGGGGATGGCGTATCTTGAGTATTATTAAAATAATTTTGGAGGCAGCACTGAAAATACAGCACTGAGATTCCTTGGAGATTTCCAAGAATGATCTTTGTTTCCTCTTGATACGAGAAATGCATTTGGAACACTCAAATGAAGTTTACCAATTTTACCACCAGGCCTTTACAGTAACGTATAATAAATTTAAAGAGGACTGTTCCAGCAGACTTAAAAAACTGTAAGTTGCTGGAGTTCAGAATTTATTTCTATAATGATATCTTTTGAAATGGTATCTGACTTGTGTGTAAGTTCACATCCACAAAAGATCAAAGAGACTTTTTTTTACCTCAAGCACGAATAACTTTATAGCACTTAAAATTTTAGCACCTACTTGAGTGAAAAGGGCTTGAATGATCAGAATCAAACACGCTGCAAACATCTGTGGTACTGGAAGCACCAGAAGCAGGAGGAGGTGTTAGCGGTGTTCTTGGAGAATTTGGTGCAGATGCTGTACTTTCTGTTTCACTTTCAGGGATCCTACTATAACTAATTTTCCTTGGCTCCTGCTGTAGAGGTGTGGGATGCCTCATGGTACCCGGTCTTGGGTTTGATGGACGAACACCAGGAGATTTTAGGGGATAGCTATATTTTTTTGGCTGTAGACATATTAAAAGAAACACAATACTTAAAACACCATGGTAGAAAGGAATGATTTTCTCTATGTGCTGATAAATTGCAACTAAAAAGCTAGGAAAACCATAAATCAACAATCAGGAAGTAACAATTTAAATCAGCGTGTCCAAGTTAAACTATTACTATTCCATTTTGCTGAAGCTTTGGCTATCTAAATTGTTAGAAAATGAATTTCTTTAAATTAACTGAGTTTTACTCCGTAAACATTATAGTAATGTTATTTTTATATCTTTGGGTAAAAAATTTTTTAAAAATATATTGTGTATTTCCCTGGGTTTTAAAACAGATTATATGGAGCAAATTCAACCTGTTGGAAAAGCCAGGATAATCATCATGAATTATAGTAACTATGTTGTAATACACTGATGCCATTAGGACTGTTTGAGCTTCTTTACAAATGCATTGAATTGCCTGAGTTTTCATCTCAATGTATATTAATTTTATGGAATTTTCCTTGCAGAGTATCATTTCTCAGTGATAACAGTGTGCTTCACTGGACCAGACTAGATACGTATTTCTTTCTTTCTTTCTTTTTTTGGTGCCGGGGATCAAACTCAGGACCTTGTGCTTGCAAGGCAGGCGCGGTGCCACTGAGCTAAATCCCTGGCCTAGATACATATTTCTAATTTGCTGTTTTTAATTCATTTTATTAAAAACTGTTTTAAGGCTTAAAAATTTGCCTGTGAGGCAAATTGCATATGCTTTAATTCACAGACATTATGAGATTTATCTTGATCACTTAGAAGCCATTTATGTTTCCTTCCTCTTCATTTTTTTTAATCAATGAGAGAACATATTTAGATCAGTGAGGTCATGATATTGTACAATAAATTTTGCCAGGCACTGACCAGTAATACAAAACAGTGGAATTTTTTTTTGGTACCAGGGATTGAACTCAGGACCTTGCGCTTGTGAGGCAGGCAGCAGAACCCGAGCTAAATCCCAGGCCCAACAGTGGAATGCTTTAACAAAGTATCTTGAGCCAAACCTGATACTGGTATGGCTAATGATTCATGGTTAAAAATTCTAATAAATCATTACCTTAAAAAGCTTGAAGTTAATATAAGTAAATTAGTATAAATTCATTAAGTTTTCCGTCTTTAGAATAAATCTTGAACTTTTTTGTTAAAACCAAAAATAACTTACATATTTGTTCAATTTCATAATTTATCATAAAAGGATTCATTCAAGTTCATATTAATGTTCATGTATTTGGAACCAAGGAAGATATTTCTAGGTTTATTTATTAAGCACACTTTGATTACTTTTAATTACCATGTGTGCATTTAATCCCTGAATGCCTTTATAAAAAATGAATCTAAAAAAAAAAATGAACCTATAACACATATAGTAGTGATGACAACACCAGAGGTACAGGACAAGTCAGAAAGTATATAAAGGTACATATATAAATGCTTACAAATCTTGGGAGAGGCTTGGGGTTTCGTGGTTCTATTTCTAGGGATTTGTTGAAAAGATAATCTGTAAATTCTTTCTCCATGCTATTTCCCATTGGATTCAAGTTTTCAAAGAACTTCTAAAATAAATGCAAAGAAATAATTATTAATAGTGAATATCTTAAATTGTTTGAACTTCATGAAAATAATTTATGAAAACTTTAAAGAAAATTTGAATTAGATATTTTAAGTTTTATTTCCCTTTTTTACAAAACAAATCTGGCTTTTATCACGCATGTAATAAATTTAATTAGAAATATATCCTCAGATAATTCTACTTACTTTGATATCTGATTCTACTCGTAAACAATAAGGCTGATTTTGGTACTGCTGGATCTCTCCTGTTATTTCTGCTACTTTTCTCCTTTTGCTAAAGTTTATTAGCTCTTTTCCATGTCTTTTTAGGACCTCAGGGTTGCCTTCTTCTGTTTTTAAGATATTAGTGAGATAAATTCCTAGAAGATAAAATGAAATTCTTTTAAGGAAAAGGGAGAAAAAAGCAAGTTTTTCTTTTTCACTAATTGTGGGCAAAAACGCTGTATTCAGAAAAAAAAAATTTAAAAAACAACACTGTATTCAGTCATTATAACCAAAGAATCAAGACTCAGATTTCCATGCTATGAAAAATTACAAGTTCAGTACATATTAGGAGAAAGTTTTTGGTTGTTTTTTATTTTGGTACCAGCTGTGGAACTCAGGACCTTGCGCTTGTGAGGCAGGTGTGGTACCACTGAGCTAAATCCCGGGCCCAAGAGAAAGATTTTTATAAGTATCAAATTCTTCTATGAAAGATAAACTTTATAAATATCCAATTAAAAGAGAGACCAAATTTAATCAGGAAGAACAACCAATTTTCCATACCCCATCCTTCTCCCAAATCACTGCTACTTGATTTAAGTCACGGTTTTGTTAAAGGAATTTTAAGAATAACTCTGTGCTAATGAACCCTCCCCCACATGCTTTTATTTTTGGGCAAAAGGTAAAAGTGCTAAATTCAGAGGATTATATTTTCTGTTTACTTAATTCTTTTTTTTTTGTACTGGGGATCGAACTCGGGTCCTTGCGCTTGTGCAGAAGGCGGTGAAACTACTGAGCTAAATCCCCAGCCCTAACTTCATTCTTTTTTTGTTTTGTTTTTTGGTACTGGGATTGAACTCAGGACCTAGTGCTTTCAAGGCGCGGTGCTACTGAGCTAAATCCCCCCGCCCTTGTTTATTTAATTCTTGAGGTCCAACAAGAGGTTGTTAGGATTTGCAATTCAGTCCTTTTTGGATAGGCTTCCTTGTAGAAATGTGGAAGGATTTGCAAGCCTGTCAAACCTGAAACTGCATATAATTTATGTATACTGTATTCTGGTCTTCAGTACTTGTAGATTTAATGGCAACCTGGTAACTGACCTTCTGTTTCCCTGTCACTATGGGCTGTGCACTTGATGAGGAGGATAATGAACAAAGTAATAGGCACTTTCATTCTTTATCCAGCCCTATGGTGCCAGGAGCACTTTAGCTCCCCTTCCTTTCTAGCACAAAGGTTTTGGAGCCAGCTCTGGTGCTTTCTACTTGTGTGATCTTGCATAGTGTCTCTGTGCCTCAGTTATCTCATCTGTAAAATGAAGGTAGGAGGCTTGGTGTGAAAAATGAGTGAATTTTTATAGAGGCTTAGAATAGGGCTTGGCAAAAGTAAGCATTAATTAACCCTGGTTGCAACTCTTGATGCTATTATTATATGTTGGCCTATTCTCTGTGTCTGCCTTCTCAAGTAGCGACTGCTCTGAGGAAAAAATAGAGGTGTGGATATCTGAGTTCATTCACTCCTACAAGTACTGCATTAAGAATTACAGATGCAAAGATCAACAACAAACGTAGTCCCTGATCTCAGAGAGTCCAGAGATTTGAATGTAGGCACTATGATACAATTTACTAAGTGCTGTATTAGGAGGTGGTATACCAGTAGTGATGCATAAGATGCTGTGAGAGCACAAGTGAGGTGTGCCTTACCCTACCATAGATTGGTGGGATTGGAAGAAGCATTATAGATGCAGTGATGCCTACAGTAAGTCTCAACAGTGAAGAGAAGTCTGAAGAGAATAAGATAGAAGGGCATTCCAAGCAAAGCAGCAACGTGTACACTGATTTGTGATGAAGCTTGGAAGGGATACTTAAGAGGATGCTGTTTTGTATGGTTAGACCTCAGACAGAGGCTTAGTGTGTGAAATGGAGAAAGAGTAGCAAGATATGACGGCAGGCATAGGCAAGGGTTAGATCACTGTTTCTAAATGCTTCTCTGTAGAGGCATACTTCTAAATACTAGAATTTTTGGCGAATCCTTGAAAAGATTAAATGACAATACTGAACAAGTCAGCAATAATGAAATATGACAGACATTAGTGTCTACTTGGTTTTTAAAAGCATGTAGTTATTGCATATTACTTGTCTTTTTCTCAACATCTAGGATGCCCTTCATGATACATTTGTAAGAAACAGTTACTGTGTATTCTAATAAGCACAGGCTCTTTCACTTTCAGCCAGTTATTCTGCGCAATCTGCACAATCCATTCATTTCAACATTCAGTTTGACAAACAGGTCTCTAAGTGTACATATAGAATAGCGGCCAAAATCATCTTTCCATATTAGTCACAACTGATAGCCCACCTGTGAAGTCTGTGGATAGAAGCACCTGGATTGAGTCATGAAATGTCTTTTGTTAAAAAGCTTAATTTTTATTTAGTAGATAGAGAGGGAGTTAAAACCATCTTTGCATTCTAGAATGACTGTAGCTTTCTAAAAGAGTAGTGAGCAGGCTACTGACAATCTTTGAGAGATGATGGGGCTGGGGTCTATGGGGATACAGTGGAGGGGATACATGTTGGAAAGGTAAGATCCCCTCACCCCCAGAACTAATTAACCAGTTTGGCCTAGGGGCAGGGCAGTAGGAAGAAAGACAGCTCTGCGCTTGAGTGACTGAACTGGTGAAACAGTCTGTGACCAACATACTAATTAATAGGATCTTACAGCTGTTAGAAGTACTCTTGAATAAAGTTGTGAAAATGCTTACAAGTAACGCCTTAGGATAGTTCAAGATAAAATTTAGAGGGCCAGAGATTAGAGCTCAGTGGTTTCGTCGCCTGCCACGCAAGCGCAAGGACTAGAGTTCAATCCCCCGTACCAAAAAAAAAAAAAAAAAAAAAAAAGATAAAATTTAGAAATTATTTTATAACTAAATGATGGCTAATTAGAAGAACAACTGATCACAGCAGTGGTATTACAGACTTTGAAGACATATACTACACAGTAAAAAAATGTTTACACACACACATACACAGAATTAAAAATGTAGAACCTACATATACATATATAAAATAGACCTGAATATCATATAGTAGTAAAGGTTTTTTCCTAATCTTTTTTAAAAAATACAAATAGAACATCTAGTTATTCCTGTATTTCACTAGATCATTTTCATCCTGACTATAAAGACTGTTCACATACTTAACAGCTATTCTTGGGAAAGGGAAAGAAGAGCAGTATGACATAAATATTGAAGAGGAATGAGGTTACTTTTCTTTTCCCTGATGGCTTTCCCAGCCTTCCCAGGAAAAAGTGGTTGCTCAGGTTCCTAAGATTCCATAGCACTTTGTGTCTGTCATTTGACTTACACATTTCTATAATACAGTGTTATGCTTACCACACAGTACTGTAAATTTTTGGCCTTTCAAGACAATAGACATTCTGGGACGTGACTTGTCTTTTTTTTTTTTTTTTTTTTTTTTTTAACACAGGGAAAGGTTTATTTAGCTCACAGTTTGTAAAGGTCTGCCAAACAGGTATTGCAGAGGAGAAACAACATGGCATGCAAAGAAACAAGGGAACTTTAATAGCATCTTCCTGCTCTGTTTATCTTATCTGGACTACTTAGGGCGAGTAACACACACCCTTAATCCTAGTGCCCTTGAGCCTTGCATTGCACCATGAATCATTTTCAGCAGCACACACTCTAGATCCAGCCGAAAAAGCCCCATCTCATTGGCATGCGGCTTTGGGGGGGCACATCTAAACATAAATCATAACATTCTGCCCTGGGCCCCCAAAGACTCATGCACACCCCTTTATGCAAAAGGCATTTATAAAGTCCATCTCTAAGAGTTGCCAAGTCCTAACAGTTTCAGGATTGCTACAAAGTCCAAGTCCCAAGTCTCTGAGATTTAAGGCAAATTCTTAGCTGCAAGCCCCTATACAAATGAAAAGAAAGTTAAACACATCCAACATTCAATGGCACAAGATAGACATTTCCATTCCAAAAGTTACAAACAGGAGGATACAAAGGAACGGGACCAAAGCAAGTCCAAAATCCAGCAGGGCAAACAATAAATCTCATAGTTCCACTTCCAGTATCCCCAGCAATCTGCTGCAAGTTGTGAACTGCAAAGGGCTTGGGTGGCCGGACCCGGATGGTACTCCTTGTGGTTATACCTCCCATAGCTTCTTTCTGTGGCTCCCTTTGCTCACTCCTTGCAGCTTCCCTTGGATGATCCACATTCCTGGCTTCTCCAACCTTCTGGGATCTCCATTGTACCTCTGGCTTCATATTCACAGCTTCACACATTGACCTCTCAGGGGCACACTGCCTGGCCTCCCAGGCCTTCTTCTGAAATCTGTGGAATTCTTCTGAATTCTGTGAATCTGTGGAGGCCTTCCTGACCCCACAACTCTTGCATTCTGCATGCACATAAAACCAACACCATGTGGATGATGCCAAAGTCTGCCACCAGCTGGAGCAGTAGCCAGGTTTCCTTTTCTCTTGGCTGTAGGGTCCAGTGCCTATGAACCAAATCCCAAGGAACCACTTCCTTAGGCCACTGCCATTCTGGAATATGGTGTGCAGGGAACTGAGAAAGGGTATGTTACTAGAACCCTTGTTGTGGGTCCTGGTGTCCTGTGAGCCATGACAGCACAAGGCAAATTAAAGAATATAGACAGGAAATGAGACTTAGAGAAGAAGCTGGGTTCTAGGCCTGAAAGTGCTGCCCTGAGCAGCAAAGACAAGGCATCCTGAGCTTACCACTATTTATTGGGTTCATAAGGAGTAATAGATGACTCAGGGGGTGGCAATAATCCTAGACTGATGAAGATTTTATAATTAGAAGTATCAGATGTCTCAGAGGGTGGTGGTAATTCTTTGACCCATGAGGCTTTTAGGTCAATGAGTTTAAATTGATTAGCACAATAAGATGAGCAAAGATGTTCTTACAATAGTAGGTGGGATGGGTTAAACTGATAAGGAATTTGTCCCTTCCCAGGTGAAACCTTTCTTTTACTACTCTGTTTTCAAAGAACCAGGGCATCTTCAACTGATGTAATCTCACCCTTGAATGTCACAGCATCACAGAACTATTGAGGTCTCAGCTGTGACCCAGGCAAAAATGGAATCATGTTTTGGCATGTTATAGCTGGCCTGTAGGCAATAAGACTAAGCCTAATCCTAGTTTAATTGTGAAATGATTTTTCCCCCAAAATTATGTAGAATGGCTCCTGACAATGGTGCTCTGGCACTCTCTTCTCAAAGCAAAGTCTTTCACTTTTGCAATTTGAGACTGCAAAGGGTGGGATCCTGCTGCTTCTTGTGATGTCCCCAGGCCATCTTTTCTATTTTCCTGTTCCTTCTCAACAATCAAGATATCCTCTGCTCTATCTTTGCAGGCTACAACTTTACTGGAGCTTTCTTTTCGGCCAAACTCAAAGTGTTTTAAGTCATTCTTCTGGGCTCTTTGCTTTTGATTCTCAACATAAATCTGGCTAAAAGCCCCCAACAGTAGCCATGCCACTACCTCAACAGTAGACTGCCTTGAAATTTCTTCTGCCAGATTAATTAGTCTGCCACCCTTAATCTCAGTCTCAGGCAAAGTCTCTGGACATGAGCAAAATGCAGACAAACTTTCTGCCAAGCTGTAACACACATCCTCTGGAGTCCAGCAGCCAATGCAGTCCTTTTGTCCAGCAGAAACTTCCTGCACTTGGTCTTTACCAGCAAGCAGCATTCTGTCAGTCTTCTGGTTTTCTGGTCTCTGACCAGACTCCCATAAAGTACAGCCTAAGGTGCTCCAACTCTACTTTTTCAGCCAGCATCTCTGAACCTTTCCAAACTCTTCCCACAAGCCAGTCCCAAAGGCTCCTGAACCACATGGTTAGGTATAGTCACAGCAATGGTTCTACTTCTCTGGTACGAACTTTTTGTCTTAATTACTTTTCTCATTGCTGAGACAAAATACCTGACACCCAAAGTTAAAGGGGGAAAGGTTTAGTTACCTCACAGTTTACAGAGGTTTCAGTCCATATTCAGCTGGCTCCCAGGCAGGGTGCCACATGGCAGAGGGGCAACAGTTCATAGTGGCAGAAGACAGCAAGAGCAATAAGGGCTATTTGTCTATTCTTAGCAGATAGAGGTATTCAACAAATATTTTTTAATGAATGAATATTTTTGAATGAAATATTATTTCAGAACAAGAGAGAAAACATTTGGAGACTTACACCAGTCTGTAACAGACATGCAGTCAATTCTAAAGTAGCAAGAAAACATAAGCAAATTTACAAAAACAGGAGGACACAAGATCAGAACTATATAACAAGAAAGAGAAAACCCAGTGCTATAAGCTTGGATGTTGGTACACAGAGAAGACACTTGGCTGAGGTACTTACCACCTTTTTTTCTGAGGAAATGTTTGTCTGCCCACATATATAAGCCAAAGTCTGGCAGAGTGTTGTAAGCACCCCCCTCCCTCCAATAAATGGTAGCATTGTCAGCAGAAAAATAAGAATTCTGGTAAGATGACACAGGAAGTAAAACTATAAGGTCTTATCCCTAACTCTTCTCATATAAGGGGAAAACAAGTACTCAGATATTAGGAAAGAATCTTGAAAGAGTTTCTATGAACTACAATATAGGCAAAATAGAATTCAGAAGCAGCAAAAATCTCTCTGTCTTTTGGGTCAGAAACATAAAAGGAACCTGATTAATTTCAGCAACTGAGAACCTTTAACTTGAGAATAATAATGATCTTCCTAGAGTAGCAAGACTGACAGGGATTATTTCAGATAAACTAGTTTAAAATACTGGAGCTTCAGTAATCAGGAAGATCAGCATAATAGGCTGGAAGTCTGGCAGGTGGACTGTCAACTACCTATCAAACTACCTGCAGGTTTATATTCACTCACTAAATCACACAGTTCAACTCAAAACACATTTTGGAACGAGACTCTAAATATAGGCTGAAACTTTTTTTTCCACTTACCATACATGAAGATCCATAGATCTTTGTGCTTATGAAGATTTAAGAGACTGTATTTTATTTTGTGGTGCTGGAGATTGAAACTGGAGTCTTTTGGATGCTATGCAAGCACTCTACCACTGAGTCTTAGTATTTTATAGTTTGGGTGAATAAATATACACCAATCAGGGTGAAGGGGTAGTAGAAGGGACCAAATGCGAGTCCAGTGAATAGGCCCTGAGTTTTCTTTTGATCTCTGTGTACCAGAGACCACAGGATATCATGAGTGGTATGAATGTAAGTTAAGTGAGCACAGTGACTATGTATTTTCCACTTTTCTAAGTACTCGAACATAGTTCCCAGTAGTAAGTACTCAGGAAATACGTCAACAGATTGGATGAAATGAACATCAGATCTACTCAAATCCTTCCCAGCTCCCTTATATGAAGTGGTGTCATACTCACCACATTTAAAAGTAAATACACAAGCTTTAACTTTTACCAGAAAGAGAAAATAAAGAAACTTAACATTTTTATCAAGAATTTGGGGCTTGGCATGGTGGCACACACCTGTAATCCCAGCACTTGGGAGGCTGAGGCAGAAGGATTGCTGTGAGTTCAGAGCCAGCCTGAGCTATATAATGAGTTCAAGGTCAGCCTGAACTACATAGCAAGACCCTGTCTGTCTCAAAAAGAAAAAAAAATTGGAGGAGGGGCAGTCCCTAGAGAAACAGTAGAAATTAATAAAATGCAATATCACTTGATATAAAAACAAAATTAGCAGAGAATAATTAAAGACCTCTTTGAAGAAAAACACAAATTGAATTAAAAATAGAAATGGAAAAGATATTGGAAATAGGAACAAGTAAAACATTTTTATACATATAAGTGAATTTTAGGTTTTTTTAAAAAATGATATTAAACAATTCTGTAGCAAGAAAGGTGCCTATTCCTTTTTTTTTTGGTACTGGAGATTGATCCCAGAGCCTCACAATGAGCCACATCCCCAGCACTTTTTTTTTTCTTTTGGGACAAGGTCCCCCTAAGTTGCTCAGGCTGATCTCAAACTTCAAATTCTGTTGCCTCAGCCTCCTGAGTAATTGGGATTACAGACACGTGCCATTGTGTCTGGCAGGAAAGATACTTTTTTTGGAGGGGGTACTGGAGATCGAACTCGGGACCTTGCACTTGTGAGGCAGGCAGTGGAACCACTGAGCTAAATCCCCAACCCAAGATACTTTCTTAATAGTACAAAAAGCATCTAATCACCTGAGTTTACAACAGAGTGCTTATTTTTAGCATCTTTAAGCCTTTGTTTGGGACCAGTTCTATAAGGCATAATTCAAAAATAAGATCACAGGAAGAGACACTGAAACACTGCTGACATATTAAATATTTAGAAAAGCCAAGGAAATTAATTCTTAGAATCCACAACAGAAGTACCCAAGAGAAATAAGAAGGGAAAATGCTGACTATCATTAAGTATTCTTTTCAAGTTAATTGATTGTTTCAATTACATTTTGGGGAATCTGCTCTGCCCCACCTCCAAAATAATAATAATAATAATAATAATAATAATAATAATAATAATTTTTTTTGTTTTGGTACCGGGGATCGAACTCAGGTCCTTGAGCTTGCAAGGCAGGCGGCGAAACCACTGAGCTAAATCCCCAGCCCCCCAAAAGTATTAAAGTTCATTTGCAAAAAATGAAGAGATAAGACTGCCAAAGAAAATAGTGAAGAAACATTAAAGAACCAACTTAGTCATACACGAGAACAATATAAATCTGGATTTCCCTGCACTGGCATTACGGGTCTTTGGAACCAGGTCATTTTATACAATATTTGTAGTGTGCTTGCATGCTGACTGTGACTTCTCAAATGAGGTTAGATATGTAATTTCTCACTTGTGATATCATCTCAAAAGGTTCAGAATTTGAATTTTATTTTTTCCTGGTTCCGGGGATCGAACTTAGCACCTGGTGCTTGTCAGGCAGGCGTGACGCCACTGACATCCCTGGCCCTAGAATTAGAAACATTTTTACTTCCAGATTAGGGATGCTCAGTCTCTATTGGGTTTTCTTGAAGTCCTAATAGGGAAAAATTCTAAGGAGATTAAGGTGCTATTTAAGTATTTTATGCTGCTATATTCTACATGTTGATACTCAATCGTTTAATCAAGTAAGTGTCTTATTTTATCCAGAAATACAATACAAATTTAGCAAGAAATACTTACCAAAGAAAGGCACACATGGTGGATTAATAGACCTGAGTTTTGCCAAATATTTCTTATAGTGATCTTCACTCAATTCATGAGCTTCCTCTAAAATTTTCTTTTGGCGACTGGGTATTTGCTATAAGGAAAAAAAAAAATCAGGAGGCCTAAATTTATAGAAAGAATCACAGGCTAGGTGCAGAGGCACACACGTATAATCTCAGCTACTCAGCAAGAGTGAGACAGAAGGATTGCAAGTTTGAGGCCAGCCCGGGTAACTTAATAAGACCCTGTCACAAAATTAAAAAATAAAATGCTCAGTGTTCCCTGGGCTCAGTCCCCAGTATGGTGGGAAAGGGGACTCACAGATCTTGCCAAACATGCCAGACTAAAATAAGGCCCAACGCAACAGTATCAGTCAAACTCCAAGCATGTAATGTGTCATAGAAACCATCTTCATAGGCTCTAGTCCAAACTTAAGTGTGCTTGATACAGATTATCTTGCAATTCCTCACACAATTATGTGAGCATCTAATTACAAAATATTACAAATTAAGTGCTAAATGTTTTTTCTGTTTTTTTCTATTTCTTCTTCTACAGAGATGGGGTCCATGAGAACATTTTAATGAGGATACTCATTCTATTTCTTTTCTTTGAGCTAAACTCCCAGGATGCCTAATTTTAAAAAGAGCAACCAATTCATTACAAAGCTTAGATAATCCAGTCTTTTAACTTGCTACTTAAAAGACAGATGGGGCATTTGAAAACTAAAGATCACAATTGCTAAAAGTCCAGATATTTATAATAGGCAATGGAAGTTCATTTTAAAAATACATGCACAGACCTACCTCAAATGTGTGGTCTAGTCTGTAAACAGGTGATGAGTTCATAGCACTGACAACCTCCAGGACACCATTGAAGTTGTTTAGCTCTTGAAAGACTTGTAGAATCTCAATTATTCGACTCACCACAGCTACTCTTTCTTCTAAATTTTCAGTTTCTACAATACACCTGGGAATCAAAAACAAAAGAATTAAAATTTTTGAAATTTTTCCAATAAAGCTATGGTTTAAAAAATTTATTAAATTCAATAATCTAGAGTGGGGGCGAGTGGCTACAGTGTGATGCTAAAGAAGACATATTCAGAGTAGGGGGAGCGTAGAAGGCAAGCAGTTCTGGTCAGGGGTAGGGTTCTCTAGACTGCTACATCAACCAACCTTCCCCGGCTATATCTGCTGCTTCTTCCATCAGTATTACAATTAGCTGATGAAACTAGTATCTTGTTCAATGCTTGTAAGTTTTTGTGATTCAAATGTATTCTAGAGGAATTTAGTTTAAAATTCAAGAATTCTGTTGCCTAAATTCTTCATTTAATTCCAAGATTTTAGTGATTAATGCTTAATTTCTTTCTTTGATAAATAGAAATTATTGGTTACATTTCTTCAGACAAGTACTGTTATGTCAAAAAGTCAATTATTTTACCACAATTAAAACTAAATAGGGGCCGGGGATTTAGCTCAGTGGTTCTGCTGCCTGCCTCGCAAGTACAAGGTTCCAAGTTTGATCCCTGGTACCAAAAACTAAACTAAATATTACTTAAGAAAAATGAATGAAAAACAATAAAAACAAAAGCACTTTACATTTAAATACTGAAAATCTGTGGATAGTGTACCTCTGTAACATAAAATATTATACATATTTTACTATATATGTAATAATATCTATAATGTATATGTAATCCAGCAAATAGCTAAAAAGTAGTTTGCTATTTTCAATAAAAAAGAAATTTACTTGGTATTGGGCCGGGGATTTAGCTCAGTGTTTCTGCCGCCTGCCTCCCAAGCGCAAGGTCCTGAGTTGGATCCCCGGTACCAAAAAAAAAAAAAAAAAGAAAATTACTATTGTCTATAGTATGGAAGAATTTAAAATTTATTAATCACTTGCAAATAAATAAAAAAATATTATAAACTTAGTTTTCAGTAATATATTTTAAAAAATGGTTTTGAAACGGGGTCTTGCTATGTAGTTCAGGGTGGCCTTGAGCTAAATTATGTAGCCTAGGGTGGCCTCCAACTCATGGTGATCTTCCTGCCTCAGCCTCCTGAGTGCTAGGATTATATATCTGTAATCCTAGGTACTTGGGACGTCGAGGCAGGAGGATCACAAGTTCAAGGCTAGCTTGGGCAACATAGTGAGATCTTGTCTCAAAATAAAATTTAAAAGGCTGGGGATGAAGCTCAGTGGTAGAGCACTTGCCTAAGACATGTGAGGCTCTGAGTTTATTCCCCAGTACTGGGGGGGAAAAACTGCAAGTTACATTATTCTCTGATGAGGCAGATTTAACACTAAGAAAAAAAACATTCTATGTGAAGCTGTCAAAATAAACTTGGCTTATCATGTTAAACATAACATGTTTACATGTTTAAAGCATTAGCTAGATCTCTATATCATATTCTGGCTAATTATCTAGACAATTAAAAGTATATCACATAATTTACTTACATTTTTTACTTAACAATTTCAGTTGTTATTAGGTATAGAAATTAAGATTGCATGTGGAATATTTGATTCCAATTTTAATACACATTCATGCCTGAGAATCACTGTGGCAAATAACAAGAAACTCTCACATTGAAAAGGCAAGAAGTGGCCTACAGCTAAATAGCCTATTAAAAAACAGGACAGAAATGAAAGTAGTCTGTATCTCTTACCAGTCATGTTCATCTTTTCAGATCTGGTATGTTTTAATTATTAAGGTGTGAAAAGGCTTCTGCACATTGAAGGGTACTTATTTAACTTGGCAATGAATTCAAGAAGTAACATTTAGGGGCAAATTCTAAAGTTTTACTTTTTTTTTTTTTGGTACTGGGAATCGAATTCAGGACCTTGTGCTTGTAAGGCAGGTGGTGGAACCACTGAGCTAAATCTCTGGCCCCTAAAGCTTTACTTTTAAAGGCATGTTACATTTCATCACACAAACACAAGGAAGTCCTAACTCAGGATGACCTGGAAAGCTTTTTAGGAAACTGCATTCTGGTCTTTTTCCATCCTTTCCCTATGTCATTGGCTGTTGTTCTGGTAATCCCAATATGATCTGTGAAAATCTCCTATGAACTTTATAAAATATTACTGAAATAATCATAATGTTTTTACTCAAAAAAAATATAGCCAATACACAAAGTTTAATCTCCAGTCCCCAATTTATAAAATTGAATTCTGGACTTCCGGCATAATAAATAGTGTAAAGAGCTCCTCTGAGTTCCTCTAGCAAAACTGGTGAAATTATTACAACAAAAGAAAACAAAATCCCTGAACTCGACAACACTTAAGTCTCTGGAAATGGACCTAAGAGCAAATGGCAAATAAAGAAATATCTACAAAAATTTGGAAAGGGAAGTGAGAGTCTACTTTAACTCAGACTGCTGCTTCTCTCCTTTGTTTTGGAACATTCGCTCCAGATTGCTGTAGCCAAAAATACCTAGCTTTCCTCTCTGGAGGAGCACCACTTCAGCATTTCTCATCCTGCCTTCAGCTATCTGTTCCCAAAGCTAAGTCTTGGTGTGTGCAGGAGAGAAGTGGGTAATTCCCTTCTTTTACCCAACCCTCCACCTGGGCTGTAGGGTGCTGAGAAGCCCAGGAAAAGAGCCCTTTGTCTGGTTCCTAAGACAGTGGTTCCATGTTAAAAGAGGCAAATAAGAGAACTTGAGGCTACACTACTATCCTCTGTACCCCAACCACCTCTTCATAGCCACCAGTCAAGCACTAAGCCCCTAGAGCAGGAATGTCACTGAGACCGAAGCTTGTCCTCATCCCCTGCCCCAAGCCCTGTTTCAAAGAGACAGCTCCTAATCTCGTGTCATTTGTAACTAAGTGTGGAAAGTTTAAAACTAAAGGTATGCTCAAGAATGTAGAGGTTATGGTGAAAGGCAGCTGATAGAATACTCTGTGTGTGTGTGTGTGTGTGTGTGTGTGTGTGAGAGAGAGAGACAGAGAGAGTGGGACAGAGAGGGACAGAGAGAGATAGAGAGAGAGAGACAGAGAGAGACAGAGACAGAGACAGCCAGCCACAAAGGTAGAATGGGCTTCAGTAAAATAATCAAGGTAGTCACTGATTAAACAAACAAGCAGGTAGCAGTAACAGCCTTGGAAGGGAAGAAACAGTACTTAGAAGTGCAACAATTATCATCTAAAATTTCAAATTTCCAACAAAAAATTATGAAGCATGCAAAGAAACAGAAAAGTAAGTTCCATACACTTTATTAAGAGCAGGGGATAGAAACATACTATGAGAGCAGCCAGATGTCAGATTTAACAGATTACAAAGTAGTCATTAAGAATATGTTAATAGAACTAAAGGAAACATGATATAGAAGTAAAAAAAGAAGGATTGGGGCTGGGGATTTAGCTCAGTGGTTCCTCCACCTGCCTCACAGTGCAAGGTCCTGAGTTTGATTCCCAGTACAAAAAGAAAAAGAATGATGACAAGGTTCATTAAGAGAGACTATCACTAGAGGTAAATAATTTTATTTAAAAAAGGAAGCAAATGGAAACTGGGGAACTGAAAAGAAAAACTGGAGGGGCTCAATAGCAGAGTTTAACTGATCAAGGAAAAAATTGTTAATTTGAAGATAGAACTATGGCTCAAAAACATGAAGGTGAAATAAGAATCTCCCCAGATATACAAAAACTGAGAGAACTCTTTGCTAGCTGACCCACTGCATAAGAAACACTAAAGGAGGTTCTCAGGCTGAAAGCAAGGGATCCTAAAAGGTAATTCGAATCCACACAAAGAGCACCATAAAGATAATTATAAAAGACACAGTAAATGCAATTTTTTATTTCTTCTTTTGCCTGATTTGAAAAGCAGCTTATAAAATGTGCATGAATATACTGTTGGGTCTATGACACAGAAATGTATGTGTAATGTATTGCCAGTAACAGCACAAAGGAAGTAGGTGAAAGTAAAGCAGTAATGGGTTTAGAGAATGACATAAAATGGCAAAGTAACAAATTATAACAGTGTATTGTTGGATCTGCATCACTAATTTAGATGTAATATGTATTACAATATCACAAAAAGGGGAGAAAAGGCATAGACCTATATAGGAGTAACACTTCTATAACTGGAATTAAAACTACTACAAATGTGAAGTTGAATTTAAGTTAAGATGTATATGATAAACCTAAGAGAACACCTAAAACCCCCCTCAAAAATATATTGAAAAATATAAGTGAAATTAAAATGTACATTAGAAAAATACTCAAAAAGAGGAACAAAAAGACATGTGACACATTGAAAGAAAAGTGCACTGAAATTCACAACATAGCTGACTTCTGAATGTCAAGATTACTCACTTCTCAAACCACAGAGTGAGGTTAGTGGTGTGTCGGATCATTTTCAGAAGATTGGGCGAATTAATTTCTTTGTCTTCTTTTGTCCACACACTTCCAACTAACTCTGATGGTTGCACAGCTCTAAAACCAACACAAAGGATTACATACTTTTCCCTCTGATATAGACATTTTTATTAAGTAAATGAGATAAATAAAAACTAAGCTCCTAGCATAATAAACTTTCCTTTTCACCAACAAAAGATTTATAAAAACAAGGTATAACAAAAATTATAGGGGCCAGAGATTTAGCTCAGCGGCACAGCGGCTGCCTTACAAGTGTAAGGTCCTGAGTTTGATCCCATATATATATATATAAATAATTACGTATTTTCTCTACAAATTTAAGAATATATCTCTGTGGATGTACTTGTGTACATTTATTATTGCTTTACAATAGCATTTTGCTTTAGGCAAGGTTGAGATTTCTGCATAATATCTTTTCTAGTACAAATATTATTTAATGAGTTAGGGTGACAGAGTAGGTATTTAAATAATGATATCTAATAATCAGTCTAAAGAGGGTAATCACTAAAATTCTTAAGGGCCCCCCTTTTAATGTAACAGAGGGGAGAAAAAAAAACTACTACAGAAGAGTCCTAGGAAATAAAATAGATTCTTAACACTATAATTTTGGGACTATGATGATCTTTGGTGGGGGATCTATAAATTCAGCTCCTTTTCTCATTTAATTATTAAAAATAAATAACTTGGAGATTCTAAATATAATTTAAAACCAGATACAGATACTTTTTGAGAAAAATATCAATGTAGAATAATAAACTAAAAAGGGCTATAACTAACAAGTTATGACTGAAGTTTACCATAGCAATAGCTAAGAATTTACATTGTGCCAGGCAATATGTTAAGCATTGCATATACGACTATTTTAAGCATCACAACAGCTCCAGCAGTAGGTACTGTCTTTGGCATCATTTTATTCTTGAAGAAATTAAGAAGCAGAAAGATAAAAGTTACATGAGGGGGTTAAAGTTGGCCAAAAATACCAAGCCAGCAATTGGTAAAGTCAGGATTTGAACCTAGCTTCTCTACTGAGGGTGAATGCAGGAAGAGAGATGGTATAAATTCAAACACAGCAAGGGAAACCAAGGCAGTAAAAGAGCCAGAACTTCCTGCCAGTCTTATTATTACTAAATATTTTATATACTATCTCATTTATATCTTATGGCAATCCCATACATCAGAAATGGGAATTAATTTTTATTCTTATTTTTTATTTTTTGGTACCGGGGATCGAACTCGGGTCCTTGCAAAACACTGAACTAAATCCCCGGCCAGGAATTAATTTTTAAAAAGAACTTTTTTGAAATTATTTTTCAGCTTGAATGTCAAATTACATACCGGTACAGATCTGATTCAAGTAAAGTGAGTTGTCGAGCAATTTCTATTGGGTGTAAGGTGAGCAGGTCAAAAGTCTCTGTGTGTCCGGGTCTGCTTATATGCCACTCAACTGTGGGAGGTGAACTCTGAAATGTAATATTATGACCTGGTCCATTGTCTCTGGCAATTTTTTTCCTCTGGATTATCTTAGTGATGGACTCAACCCATTTTTTCATTGCTTTACCTGAAATACATTGTATTTTAAAATAAAATTTAAATACTCTTTATTTAATATTTTATATGGTTTAAAAATCACAGATGCTGGACTATACCTTTGCTATAAAAAGTTCAAATGATCAAAATAAAAACTGCAAGTTCCCCTTTCCCATTTCCCAGTCTCCCACCTCAATCTAACTCTTCACATGGGTAACCACTGTTAATAGTTTGGTATGGATTCTTCCAGATCCTTTCTCAAGTAAAATTAGAAAGTAATTTGTAGAGATTTTTCACTTAAATTGTTCTGAACTTTAGTTCAAAATATTATTTTAAAAACCTCCCCCCCAAAAGTGTATTTTACACAAATTACAAGTTTGATAAAGATAGATTATACATAGTCAGCATTAATCAAATCAACACTGTATTTTATAAACCAGTCAGTGTCAGAGGCCCATTCCTCATGTTAGCATGAGGTTTGGTGTGGCTGGTGTATACTGTAAAGGACTACATTTAGCCTTTATTCTCTGGGTTTACTGTATACAATGGAAATAAAAGCCCATTCACCTAGGGCTTCCTTGGAGCCACACAGTCATAGATGTTTTTTTTTTTTTTGAGACAATATCTTGCTATGTAGTGGAGGCTGGCCTTGAACTCATTATGTAATCCAGGCTGGCCTTGAATTCCTGGTGTTCCTCCTGTCTCTTGAGTGCGGGGAATTACAGGCATGTACCACCACACCCAGCCAGAAGTTTTAAAACCAGAAGACAAACCTTGGCAATCTATAAAATCACGATGGTTACTGCATGCACTCATCTACATGTACTTTCAGATCAGTAACTCAGTGTAATTGAGACCTTTTCTAACCAATTCTGAAATGATCACTAAATTAATTCACTAAATGAGAATACACTGAAATCCCAAGGTAATTTTTGTAGGTCTAAATGTTGTTATGATGAAAATTTTTAATTTTAAGGTGGTTATGCTGTCATTATTATACACATTTCTTGACAACACTGAACAATAATGACATTAATCAACAATCATCATATACTTTTATTATATATAAAACTAGACATTTAGGAAAAAAACATACCTCTTACTGTTCCAATAAATTCCTCCATTCGTTGCAAAAGATCTGTATCTCTTTCAAAGTCATAAAAGTGGTGTTCTACCCAGTGCCGACATACATTTAATACTCTATGGCATTAACACAAAATTGAGTTACATGGGAATTCAAACATAAATGCTTATCACAATGAATAGTACAAATGAAAACAAAGTACAGTAACTCCTACCAAATTAAATAATCTTATTAGTGGCTAACACTTCCAAATTCTATGTTAAGACTTATACCATAATTTCTGATAATTGCTCTTATCTAATTCACTTATTTTATTTACTACCTACTCCTTGCTTGGGAAAGGTCCTTACATACTTCAACTCTGAAAACAGAAGATTGATAAAGACTTGTTTATTTCAGTTAGTTATTGAATGCTTACCGCAGTTGTACAGGCTGTATATATTCTTTTCTAAATCTCTTCAGTTCTGCACTCAAGGGTTGATCTCCATTCTCTATAGCTATGCGATCAGCTTCTGTTGGCTCAGGCTCTGGAATTTCAAACCTAACATAAAACAGAAAAAAACTTATGAAAATATTAATTATATCAAATTATACAAACAGAAATCCACAAACTTTTTCACCTGCTAACAAAATCAAGAAAATACTGTAAAAAAATACTGACGATATTACAGATCAGTAAAAAACAATGGAGCTTCTATAATGTAAAGGCTGAGAATAATATTTTTGAAAAGATATTAATACTGCCCAGTATAGGTAAAAAAATAACTACATAATAAAACATGCAAAATCTAAAAATAAATATGACCACAGAGTTATGGGACCGATGCTCATTTGGGTGTTTGTAGAATTACTCTAAATCGGCTGACATAATTTTTGAGAGTAGCCAGTGCTTTAAAAGTTGATTACTACTTGTTTGGGTAGAGGAAACACTTTGCTTGATTTGTTCACTGACAAGCTCCATTTTGCTCAGTATGTGGGATATTTGAAAACTCTTGTTATGAACATCTAAGTCATGAAAAATATAATTTCCAAAGTATAAATTATACATTGTATATAATTCTTTAACTTGATCAATTCTATAAATTTTAAGTTTTGGACACTAAGTTTCTATGTAAAATAAAGAATACTTATTTCTGTATTTAAATAATCAAAACTACATGATTTTAGAAAATGATATTTTAAATTTTAAAAAGGGCTCATGTACTACAATTTAAAGCTCACCCAAAACATTTTTGAGAAATGTATGGGATCTTCCCTCAGTTTCTTTTAAAAAATAAACAATTTAAACATTTAAAAATTGACAGACCTTTCTATTATAAGACTCAGCAGTTCTTGAGGTTTGCAAAATGATCTGTACGTTGTAAGAAATGTCCGAACAAAATTGGGATCTGAGAAGAAAAGGAAGAATATCTTATCATTAAAGACTTTGATTCAGATTGATTGAAACTATTATTTACATTTTCAAAAGATCAGTAGTCAATTTTAAGTCTCCAAAAGTTTTAACATGTGGAATTCTTTGGCCTTTGCAATGTACTGCTAGCTTTAGTGCTTCCTAAATCACTGGTAAAAACACTGATGTTAAATTTTACATCAACTTATTTCTTGCCTTCTGCATACTCTGACCAGCTGGTCTTTTTTTTTAGTTTATTTATTGCAGTGCTGGAGATCAAACCTAGGGCCCTCTGAATGCTTGGCAAACTCTATACTGAGCTGCATCCCCAGCACTGACTATCTGGTCTTAAACTCATCATTTGGCCACAGGAATACATAAGGAAGAAAAGTAAAGCCAGAGCACTGAACCAGGATACTAACAGGATCTCAGAGCATTTATTTCCTTAAAGAGAAATGCAGCAGCAACAATCTGTTAACTTCCTGAAATTCATACTAGTTTATATATAAAATCAGCTATCTAGATTTCTTGAAAGCATGTTAATGGAGCATATATTAACTGGATCCAACTAAAAGTTGGATCTTTTTAAAAAATAGATTAAATACTGTTTCTGGCTGGGCATGGTGGCACACAACTGTAATTCCAGCACTTGGGAGGCTGAGGCAGGAGGATCACCTCCAGTTCAAGGCCAGCCTGAGCTACATAGTGAGTTCAAGACCAGCCTGAACTACATAGCAAGACTCTGTCTCAAAATAAACAAATACATAGTTTTCAAATATCTACAAGCTCTTCAAACTACTGAATATGTTAGAACTGTACAAATTATTGTTTTGGTCCTATTGACAACTTAATCCCTTTTATTTCAAGTAGTCACAAGGAGAGTTTAATCATAAGAGCAGAAGTTTCCAATCCCTTCTGTCACAGGACGTACTTTTCGTTCACATTCCTAAGAAGTAAAATAGGAGACAGAATGAGATCACTTCCTCAGGCCTGGCCTACTCTTCTTTCTTTGATCATAGTCTCCAAGTTGTAGAGAAAGGGGTTGTTAGGCGCGCAAGAGACCTGGGCTATCTAGTGCATAAATGAGGAGAAAGAACTTCCCATACTGGAAAAAGAAACTCCCTTCTATAACTCAAATTTCCTCAAGGTCTACATTTAGTTGTAAGACTTTTTAATTTAAAAAAGAGGGGAAAGTTCATTGATTCACTTAATTGAGAACATTCTCCTATTTACATTATGGACTAATAAACTCTAATGGTAAATTCACTGAGGATAGAAAACAGCTCTATTTTTGTTACATACCATGAAGCAAAGCTTTCTAAGTGCATTCCCTTTACTAGTACAGAATTTAATAAAATTAGAAGGTATTTCAAAATTTTCTTTCTTTTATTTATTTACTTAATTACTGATATTGGCGACTAAAATTCAGGGCCGTGTGCTTGCTAGGCAACTGCTCTGCCACTAAGCTATGTTCCTATCCTTATTTTATTCTGAGACAGGATCTCATTAAATTGCCCAGGCTGGTCTGTCCATTTGTCGTCCTCCTGCCTCAGCCTCCTGAGTAGCTATGATTATAAGGTGTGCCCACTGCACCCCAATGAAAATTTCAATTTCTTTTATCTTAAGAACCACTCTAAATTTAGCCTTAAAATAAAAATTTATAATTAACTTTTTATCCAAAAAGAAAATACATGAATTTATCATAAAACAGAAATCTATTTCCAATCTATTGGTATTTATGTGGTCATTAAGATACTGAGCTGATTTAAATATCAGACAACCCTGAATGTAAAATAATACTTCAAGTTAAAGAAAAATTTACAGAATAAAAATTGGTTTTAACTGCTCCATTTTTCTTTACCTTTATACCTTCTGAAGCTAAAGTGGGTTACTGATAAAAGTAATTTAAATACATATAATCTTTTAATAATTTCCTTTCTGTTGGTATTTTATTGTTTGTCTTCAGTTACAGAGATCCTCAGTTAAAGACTAATGTTTCATCCAGAAGAAAAGATTTTAAAACAGAAGGCTGTACAAGATTTTAAAACAGATTTTTATCGATTTCATCACAATCTTCCCTTTCAAGAATCTTCTTCCTGTTCTACAAATCTATTTGTAAGGTGAGGCTACTCAAACCAGCATGTGTTTAGCCACTGAGCTGTCACTGTTGGAGATTCCACACCCTCAGTGCGAAGGTCTCTGGGAGCCCCTGAGTTACGTTCCAAATGTAGGGGCCCCCCAACTTTTTAAAGAAAAAGGTATTTCAGTCTAAAGACCTAAAATCAACATCCAGATCACTGTCTTCTTAAATGCCACCCAAAGTCAGGCTAAAAAGTTCTGTGATAACAAACGAACTTTTAAATTGAAAACAAACAAAAGCAAGCTCTAAGTGAATTAAAGTATGTTTTAAGAAAAGTATGGTTATTTATTTTAAAGGCACATAATTTTAAAACTGACTTTTCTTCTTAGGCTAAAATTATTTTAAAACAGCTTTTCATCTTAAGCCATTTTAGTGCTTTCATGACTGATGATAATGCTGGTAGTTATACCATGCCTCAGGGCCACACCAGTCACATGGAATCCTATCAACTCCTGACAGCTGTTACATAATGTTCTCAAAAGAGCTTTCACCTCATTTATTTCATGTGATTTCTGTGAGGTGAGCAGGTGAGAGATGTAAGGGAGACTTATTTAAGGTCACAGTGGAGTGGCAGAACTGGAACCAGAACTTGGGTCGTGTGATTCCCATTTGGTGCTCTCTTCTACCATGTCATATAACCTCCCTCATTTAAGGATTCCTTAAAGTTTCTCCAGCTATGAGGTCTAAATATACTTTCCTCCATGGGTTATGTAATCACTATAAATTTCTGTAAATGATTAATTTAGAATGTAGTTTAGCTACTAATCTTGGTTAAAAGCAACAGACATCACTGAAAAATAAGCAGTCTAATTGTGACTCTGCAACTCTTGGGAAGCCGCCTTTCAGATTTTGGAGGCAGCAGTGTACTTCCTGTGCACTGTATTCAGAAGAGGAGCTGGAGCTGGCAGTACAGTAAATACTCCCACAGTCATCACTGTCGTAGTTCTAAAGTGGCCCAAGTTTGTTTTTAGCTTGACTGGAAGAGGTCTCTTGCCAAAAAGAAAAAACCAGCAGAAACCGAAAATAAACTAAGAAAATTGGCAAAAGTTTAAATACTTAAAAAAATATTTTAAAGACTTCTTATATTCTCAAGCTTATGTTAATTTTTATAGACTCCACTTTAGCTTAACAAAATGAAAAATTGTTAATGAATAAAAAATTTACATTGAGGATATATCTATTTTTCAAATTTTATACAGAAAAGCATACAAAATTCCAGAAGCTATTTTTATTTCTATAGCATTGATTTCTCCATTTCAGTGACTGTACCATATACATGTCACATTAACCACTGCAGATCTTTATCTTACTAGTGACATAACAGGTTAAGTTAATTTGATATTTTTAAAACACCTATCCAGGGACTGGAGATTTAGCTCAGTGGTGCCATTGCCTGCCTCACAAGCACAAGGTGCAGAGTTCGATCCCTGGTACCAAAAAAACCACAACAAAACCCTACCTATAAGGACAGGTTACATAACTGTTAGAAAACCAAATACCTACTTTCATGTATCAGGCAATGTCAAAAGCTAAGATATACTGCTGGTTGGTTGTAGGGCAGCAGTTACCTATCTGTGTCCTAAAATAATGTTTCAGAGACAGATGGTAGGCAAACATACAAATTCAAAAAGCCAGGCTGGGTTTGGCTTTAAAGCATAAGCATGAACAAATATTCACAGAGAAGACAAAACATAGTGTATTTTGATATTCTCCTTCTCTTTATGTATATCACTTGCTTGTGGAGGTCATTCCACAAGCTTCTTCCTTACCATGACCCCCTAATGGGTTTCAATATGAGCAACAATAAAATCTTTCTGTGGATTAAAAAAAAAATTTATCTTCATACGTAACATTACTCTTCTACTTGACTCTTAACCCTACATTATGATTTCCACCATGTTCATTAGTTTCTCTACTTCCTCCTCATTACAACCTCTCTATACAAATACCTGCCAACTGTACCATGAAGTCCCTGGTCTAGGTCCAAGTATTTCAAACATAAGCTGTAGTCATTATTTTCTGCTGGCCTCCTAGCTGTCTCTGTCTCCCTCACTATAAAACCATTCTTTATGATTTTACTGCACAATTCTTCAAGATCCTATGAACTCAAGAGTATACCTACATTAGTGTTCATGATATAGTATATTAGATTTGAGGTGACAAATCCAATTTCTCTTCTTGGCTGTTTTTTAATTGACCAACATTTTATTTGGCAAGGTCAATGTAATTTTGAAATATTACATTGAAAAGCTATTTATATGATGAACACCCCTCCCCCACCCATCACAGCAAAACACTGTTAATCAGGATGTCTGTTCATGTGATAATACTCCCTTTAATACAGCCATTTAAAAGCTACAAGAAACAATAAGTTCCTCAACAAGGATTTATAAACAATTACTCTTGAATTCCTTAAAAAAGGAAACACGCTATGCTGACGCACAAACGCTTAAAAAAAAATCAAGAGAGTTTAAAAATAGAAAAGCCCTTCCCTATAGATCAAAAATTGCTCAAGAGGTTTTAAAAAGTTAAAATATCCAAACCAACCTTAGACACAAACTCAAAAGAAATCTAATGTAGATACTTGAGCATTTTATATATGAATGCATAACAGCAGTAAAGAAAGAAAAATGTCTTCTTGTTTAAGTTTTTTCAGTTCCATTTTCTACAAAAAAGAAGTTCAACATACAAAGGAAACACCCTTTTCCCACATCTCAATATAAAAAGCTTTTATTTTCCACACAGTGTCAATTCTTATCTCATTACCATATCACATCAGTATCCTTACCTCAGTCATCTCTATCAACCATTTCTCTACTCATGTCTCAATAATTAATTTGTATTTTACTGCCCACAAC